ATGGTAAAGTAGTATTGATGGTGTATCCTAATTTTGATTTGGATTGAATATGACATAGTAAAGGATCATAATATATGTTAAAAGCTCTTTTAGAAGATCTTGTTCCACTAATAAGATTTAATTTAATTTTCTCAGATGATTTTCACAAAAAAATTGAACATTATAAAGAAGCTATTGATAAGGATTTTTATGAAGAACTTTACCAATATTTCAATCATAAAGATAAGTGGTAATCTAAATTATTGCTTCCAAAATGTCCAAGAATTAAAAAATTACTAAGCACACAAATGAAATGTTTAATAACTAACTGGATTGATGAAAGAGATGATATATATTCAAATGATTTATATTACAATTTTGAACCAATTTTCTGTGGATCTAAAGATGGGTATTCAAGGACAACTTTTGAGGAAAGGTGCCACAACGTTGAAAAAACTTTGGTTTTGATAAGGATTAAGGAAACAGCTGAGTTAATTGGTGGATATAATCCCATTACTTGGAACCGAAATCATATGTTTCCAGAAGAGGAGTATGAGATCCAAACTGACAAAAGCTTTATCTTCAAATTTGATAAAATGCATATAAACAATTCCATATTGAGTAGGGTTGCAATGCCATTTGGTGCAATTTAAAGACTAGTGCCATAAATTATGATGATGGTAGTATTGTATTTATGGCATATAAAAAGTGGTTGTGACCACTTTTGCAACCATACTTTTTCCTTTTTTTGGATTACAGCACTAGTCTTTAGTGCAATTGGCCATCAATCACAGCCATTCACTCGTACTATTGATAATTTAGGTATTACATTTAATGAAGTATTAGTTGATTTTATGGATTTACAAGTCTATAACAGTACAGATGATGGACCTTATTGTTACTATGTACATTACAATCATGGAAGTGATAGTTACGAAAATGACCTAATTTTCATAAATAAAGATAAAAAATATCATTTATTAGAGGAATGTGTGATATATAAATTAAGTTAAATAAATTTTTTTTAGAGTAAAAATTTAATAATTAGCATAATAAAATATCATAATAATATAACAATTTTTTTTTACTTATCCAAATTTCACTGCACAAGAATGGAATGAAATAACTAAAACCAACCCGTATAAAATTCACCATCCTGTAATACCACCATCAGTTTCTAGATCTCTTCAAGAAGCTGCAATTAAGATTGTAATGGGTGAAGACTATTATATGCATCCTGATAATTCGGAGATAAATAAACTTGCTGCACGCACATTTAATGAGTTGTAAGTTGAATTTTTGATTAGTATTTGTAAAAGATGAATGTTATTTAATGCCTTTAACACATTTTAGATCTAGCATTCCTCCTATTGATTATAAAATGTCAGAAGAATTACATTGTTGCAAGTTATTATATCCTTTTACAAATCCAGTGTTTTTTGGACCACATAAAGAGTATGAGGTTCAACTAAATCGCACTGTTAGTAAAACAAAACAAAGACCTGATTTCGCCTGCATCATTAATAAAATTCCACTTTTGAACTCCGAAATTAAACCATGTGGATATAAACCACTACAAAAAAAAAAGGATATTGTAAAGGCTCAATTAAGAGGTAAAAAGGCAATAAATCAACTATTAAACTTGAAAGGTGGTCCTGCTAAAACAGCCATACTTACAAATATGGGTATGTATATAATAAACTGTCTGCCATTACATTATTATTCTGATGCTAATTTATTTTTAAAATATTATGTCCAGGTGATACAGTATCATCTTTTATCATGGATCTACAGGTTGATAGGATTTATCGTTCTTGGCCTTTCTGTACAACAAAATTAGTAATTGATAAATCTTCAATGCCATTGATAGAATCGACATTTTGCCACTTTGTGGCATTAGAGGTATACATAATTATTTTAATCTGCATTTGGATAATATTCAAAATTTATGACAAATTGTTTATTCACAGGGACAGATAAACATATTAGCAAAAGATTTTAAAACTCGCAGTAATGTGTTCACTCCACCATTACAAATGTCATTCATGAGCATTATCCCAGATTCACCACAAATCAAAAGGTTACTTAAATAATTTATATAATTTAATGATATTTAATGGTAACCTTTCCTTAGTATATATACACATATATTATCACTATCATATGTGATGAAAGTAGTAGTATTGGTATATCTTTGTTTACAAAGCTTAATATTGTAAAAAAAAATTTTAATTTTCAAATAATTCAAATGCTTTTTATTCTAATAAAATGATTTCACATTAAAATTTTAAATGTTCACTTTGTCTGGTTTTGTTGCAGCATACCCCATATAAGGAATTACAATCAGACCTCCATAAATGCACCCCTCTTTGGGACCAAGGGACAATGTGCATTTATGGAGGGGGTGCATTTATGGAGGCCTGACTGTATATGAGAGGATTTTTTATTGGGTAAAATAATGATCAATTTAAAAAACAATAATTAGTTTTGAATATTCACCTAACTTTGTTTATTTACTAATCATAAAAAAATATAATTTATTTACATTGGAATATTTCCTTTTAGTTTATATACAGTACCTGGAAGAAAGTATTCAAATGCAGTTTTTCAAAATATCACATGATAAAAATTAATAAAAAGTGATTTGTAATTTAGATTCTTATTGGTTAAATGGGGCATGCTGCAACAAAACCAGACAAAGTGAACATTGGTATTACCAAGAATTACAGGGTTCAAAATTTAGTCATTTGTAATGTGATTATATAATTAACAGTTTTATAATATCCCATTTGCTATCTTAAGTGATATATAGAATTGCCCCTATATAAAAATAGTCAATATGAAGCTCATTTATATCAGATCTACTATGGAACCAAAGAATTACAGCACCATTAGAAGTATTCTGAAAAAAGAACAAGGTGAAAAAATTGCTCCTTACATTTTTAAATTAGCAGGTACCAAATCTTTGCAAACATATTTAGACAAAGAAAGGATTACCTATGAAATTTACCAAAAAAGAAAAATAATAAGCATTAAGAAAAGAAAGCAGAATGAAAATGTGTTATTATCCAACAAAAAGCAAAAATCCTTAGAAGGAAAATAATCTTATTATTACAATATTGGTTTATTTTTTTCCTTTAATTTTATCAACATGAATCATGGCAATAAAAACCTAACAAAGTTATATGGGCTATTCATAATCAAATAGATTTACCATCAAATTTTTCTTTATTCTTTGAAATATTCATTAGCAGCTTTGACAAAATCTTCATCTGGCATAAGTTTATGTCCCTGTAATTTTGCATAAATTTTACATTTAATAATAGCAAAAATTTCCCTAAAAAATTCCTGACATCTATATTACATCAATATATCAATGCTAACCATTAATTCTCAGTTGTTAAACACTGACCACCTATGAGTAAAATATTTTTTTGGGAATGATTCTTTAGTAAAACTCAAGTGTTAAATAATAAAAAAATTTTTTTTGGTTCTTCATTTTGGGTGGCGATTTTTACTGTTGTAAAATTTATGCAATATTACAAGGACGTAATTTTACATGTATAATTTTTGCATAATTATTACAGTTGTAATCTATTATATTAAAAACGTTAGGTTCACGTGAGCATAACGTTTAGAATGGTGCCCACGCATAAATAAACGTAACGTTTAGGCTGCCACGCATAAATAATGTTATTTGAATTGTTCAATAACACAAACGTGTGCCACAATCTATCCGTTATTGTATCGTTGGGTTACGTTTAGACTACCACAAGCACGCAAATAAATACGCTGTGATGCGTAACGTTTTAGACCGCCACATGCAATCTATCTATTATTGTATCGTTAGTTTATGTTTAGACTACCACAAGCACGTAAATAAATATGTTGTGATGCATGTAAATGATTTTTAATTGTGATACAATAATAAAATATTATATTTTTCATTAGTTTTTGATTATTCTCTAACTTTTGATGTGACATTTTGTAGTCATGAAATCAAATTTAACAAAATTATGTCAATCAAAACTGTTATTTTTTTAAATCTATACATATTTATAATAAACGCAACTAAACTTATTAATGCTATGAATTTACAGTATTAAATAATTTCGAATAAAAAAAAAAATTTACAAGATTATTTATAGTGTGCTCTAGATGTAAACTGTCAGCGAAGCTGACAGGTTACACCTAGTATTATTAATAATGAGTAAAAAAAGTAACGATTTACAGTTGTACAATTCATTAAATCCTAATATTACTGATGCTGCTTCAACTTCAACAAGAGATGCAATTATTGCTCCAGGTAAAAATTTTTTTTTGAATTTTACAATATTTATACTATATAAATAAATATAAAATAAAAAATATTATTTTTGTAAATAAAATTATAAAATATACATTAAAATAAAGATTTTTCGAATTGTATCAAATTATATATTCGATCTGTTCGAATCAAATCAAATCAATTCGAATTCGATTTGAATGAAACAAATCAAAAATTAAGTGATTCGATTCGATTCGAATTGGTTCGAATTTCATTGATTCGTTCGGAGCCTTAGGCACAATAATGTTCAAACTAAACTAAAATCATCATATACCACTACACTACTTGAGGTATCCCTACATGCAATATAGTATACTAATAAAAGGAGTTCCTAACTAATAATTAAATGTTTACCGAACCATTAATCATCAGAAAGGGTTATAAATCAATTAATGAAAGTTTATTATTGAAAAATCAATTGTTTTTAAATTTTTTCTTCACTGAAGGAGATTTCAAACATATTTATACTTCTTAAAGTATTACAAATAACATGATTTTGTTCAATAAAATAAAAAAAAATACAATGATAAATTATGACTAATTGAGAATTACTAAAGTTAAATGTCAAAAATATGTCATTGATGATGTCATGATTAAAAGATAACTGATGAAATTTTTTTTGTTGTAATTAATTAAAAATAAAATTTATCTTTCTTGAAAATATTATTAGACAGAAAAATATGGCAATGTGAATCTGGACACATTTGTATTGAACCAATTCCATTCAATTCATTAATGTCATAGAAGACTTTGATGAACCTTTCTTTGAAGTCAACACAGTTTAATAGGACAAGTTTCTGAATTATTTTTGCAGGAAAATTAATTAATTAGCTGAATAAATCCTGAACCAGAGATAAATATGCTATTGATCCAGAATTAAAAGAGCACAACAATCATGATTGTTATATTGTAGCTCTACTCTAAACCTAGAAACATCATTATGGAATAAAACATCTTTAAATACTGTTAGTACTCAACTCATGCTAAAAATAAATGATTTATGAGGAGGAAGTAAAAAAAGGAGTATTGCTTGAAAGTATTTCTTTAAATGAAACCTTCTCAGAAGTTCAAGATGCTCAAAATCTTTACAATGAATCTAACTCATTACAGCAAGGATTACTTGCTCTTACCACTCCTCATCACTTTCAATGTCAATTTTCTTGTTTAGCAAGTGCATCAGTTTCACAGATCTTAGATGGTATTCAGAGGTTGCAAAAGAGAAGTAGTCGAATATCTGTTTACTAGGTACAGGAGCAAAGTATCATCCACCTAGTCTCCTCATCATGATATGTTTTCAGTATTTGTCAGATTTGTAATGTATTTCACAAAATCCTATGGACATCACATATTGAAAATTTATGTGACCATTCCATATCAGGGATGACCATGCTTTACATGGCAATAGACATTGAGTGAGCAATAGGATTTGTCTAATTGTGGCTGAGGGAACATGGTTCTCCATTTGATGGTTACAATGGTGTAATCTAATACTTCATGACCAAATTATACAATGTTTTTCTATGATGGAATGTCTGCATGAATTGCATTAAGTGAGATGTTTCTTTTTTCCATGTAGGTAAAGCTGTGCATCATTCCATGGTTTTGAAATTTATCATGTTTGAAGAAATGCCCTAATTCACCATCCAAAACTTGTTCTGTCATATTTCAGTAGTGTAGATAGATGTGCAATAGATGATTGCTTAGTATTGTGTTTCCATTTTATGCAAATGGATCCATTTGTCTTTGGCCATCATCAAGGTGCAGAAAATCCAAGGAAGGCTTTGAAAAAGGGAGACATAGTTATCAAATTTAAAGGTAGGGTTGTGACTTTTGACTTGTCCAAGATTTCATGGTTGGAATAAGAGCCTCTAACAATCAAGTCAGTTTGGGTTGGATGTCTCTCACAATTCATGTTTCTGGTTCTAATTTTGAAAATTTCTTCTTTTCTCAAGCATCAATGTGGCTAGTACCAACACAAGCAGAACCTAGCTATCTATTGAAGGTGGTATTTTTTAATGTACTCATAGTATCCTTTCCTATTGGGGTAATCATCAAAGATTCCATGTCAGGGTTTCCAAATAAGATCAGAAGTTTAACATTGTTTGATTCAACAAAACTCACAATCAGTATATTGTAGTTTGTGTCAGTTGGCTTTTTTATTTGATAATTTAGGTATGATTTTTATTATATTTAAATTATTCAGATACATGTATTAAATTTTAAGATTTCTAATATATATTAATAAATTATTTATATATTATATATATTATATATATTATATGGGGCATGCTGCAACAAAACCAGACAAAGTGAACATTGGTATTACCAAAAATTTCAGGGATCAATAATGTTTAACATCACAATTGTATTACAATGTAATATGATCACGATATTTCATTTTGTCTCTAGATAAAATAGTTAATATGAAACTCATTTACATCCGATCTACTATGGAACCCAAGAATTATAGCACCATCAGAAGTATTTTGAAAAAGGAACAAGGTGAAAAAATTGCTCCTTACATTTTCAAAATGAATGATACTCAGACACTGGAAGCTTATCTAAGGAAAGAAAAAATCACCTATGAAATTTACCAAGAAGAAAGAAAAATAATAAGTATTAGAAAAAGAAAACATCATGATGATGCATTATTACCCAACAAAAAGCCAAGATCTCTAGAAGAAAAATAATAGGAACAAATTTATTATCTATTTTATCTATTTTATCTTTTCCTTTTTGGCATTTTCTCAATGAGTAACTAGATTTCTAAAACCAATACTAATGTCCCATTCTAGCCATGATTTAAAGAGTTCTCTTTCATGATTGAACACTGATTTTTTTTTTTTTTTTTGTAAAACACTTTATAAAAAAGTTAGTTTAAATAAAAAAATCATGACCAAAAAAGAATGTTTTAACTGTAATCAAACTAAAGAAGGATTAGAAATTAATTGATGAGATGAAGAAGATAGAGAACATAAAGAATTCTGTTGTTGAGATTGTTCTGAAAACATAATTCAAAAAGAATTAGATGAATGTGCAAAATGAGAACGCAATAAGAAAAAGATCTTTCGAGAAACCTTAACTAAAGTTAAAAATAAAGAAAATTTTGATTGACCTTTTAAGTACAGAGTTATTAACCAAAAAGGGGATGGGAGATGAAACAGAATTATCATATGTTGTAATCAGTGTAAGATCATATTGGACTGAGATGTTACTGCTTATGAAGACAGTAGAGGACATAAATGTTCTCAATGTCGTAATTCCAAGAAGATATTAAAAGAGGTGAACAAGATAAGCATTTTTCCTGAAAAGATGACAACACTCCCAGTTACATTTGTCCCAAAAGCACAGCAAAGGGTGAAATAGTTTGTCATATGTGTGACAAAATGGTAACACATAAAAAAGGAATGCTTAAAACTTGAATCTCTGATTTTGGAGGCACCATAACCTCTGGAGTAGTTTTAAGACAAAATTCTAAAGGTCATGCAGCACTGTGCACCAAACGCCATGCAGAAAACTTCAAAGAAATAACTAGAGAAGAATGAGCAGATATTTTACCAGTACTTAAAGATACAATTAATAAAATCAATAAAGCATATAATCCAATAGGCTATAAAGTAAGTGTACCAATAGGGCCGCTTGCTTCCCAAAACCCACCCCATTTTTATATGCGAATTGTTCCTAAATATAAAGAAGCTTATGGAAGCAGGGGAATTAAGGAGTATCATGAAAAGCTTTTTCTCAGGAGGGCACTGAACAAGCAAATACAATCTTTCAACCAACAGAAGATAATATTGTTCCAGAAAAGAGCAAAGTATCTGCAAGATTACACAATGAAATAGGAGGTATAGTTGTCTTCACCAAAAATCATTTACCTAATGATATCAATGCTGTAGATCAAGAAACTTGAGATCAAATTGGTGAAGTTTGTCAAGAACTTATACAAAAAATGGCATCTGCTGAAAATTTTACTACTGATGCCGTAATAAGATGAGAAATTAACCAAAGAGCTGCAGAAATTTTGATAAAAGAATCAGAAATGCCCTTCAAGTTATAGTAAAAATTATCCCTCATCTGAATTTTCAGTATACTTCGCTCCTAGATTCAAGAAAATTTTGAAGACATTACAGGCCTGTAAAAGACAATCAATTTCTAGGTACTATGGAAGATGAAAGAATGGCTGAAAAAATAAGAGACCCGGAAGCCTACTATCAAAAATGGGGTAAAACTCCCCGAACTCAATTAGAAAACCAACTTAATAAGAATAAAAGAGAGAAAGTTTACTGAATGGTTGGTTGTGGAATACTATTTGTCTCCCTAGTTGTTTTAGTTATCAAAATAATTAAAATTAGGAAAAATAAAAGTTAATTATGACATCTAACCTTTTTTATCTAGTATAAAAATTATTCAATTACATTTTATGCTGGCTTGGGACAAGTGATGTCTTTAAACTCATCCTTTACAAATGGGTGAATGTTATTATAAAGGTATTCTTGTCTTTTATAGTCCAAAGGAGGAGGTGTTAACACTAAAATAGATAAAGCTTTAATCTCTTCAAAAATATCTGCTTTCTTGATTTTCAATAAATTGAATTCAGTAAAAGGTCCATTAGCAACTTCTTGAACTTTCACTGTACCAAAATTAGATGCTTCAAAAAGAAAATGTTGATATTTCTGTATACTTGGTAATTTCTTAAAATAAATTCCCAAAATTGCTTTAATATCTAAGTACTGAAAACCTTTTCCACCTTTGTAATGTTGAGCCTTATTCAATCCTGCTGGACTAGACTTTTTTATTACCTCAACCACATGATCTAGACAATCCACTCTTGTTATTCTATAGAGTTTTTTAATCATCCCAAAATTATTATATATACAACGTTATTACAGGAGAGACTGTTCTGGTAACACAAAATTTTAACAATTGTTGATTGATTGACCAATTAAAATCGTGAATTTAAAAATAAACATTTAATGTGGGTTTGATTCATTTTGTCAACAATCACTTCACGAACAATTGTTTAATTAAATGGTTCGAATTTAGAAGCTGGAAGCAACCATTTGAAATAGTCTAATAAATTAAATCGTACTACTCGAAAATGTATTTAAAGGGTTGGTTGAAGAATAACTCTCTTCCTAACCCTTCTCTTGACCATATCTCTCGATATAATCAAAATAACCTTAATATAACGAACGTCAATGATTGTAAACGCAACCAATTTAAGATATACGATCAAGAGGAAACACGAACGATGTATGAAAAAATCAAACAAATTATTTAATATTAATAAATCAAAATTTACAACTCAAAAAATTTTTTTTTTGCATGTAATAAAATTCCATTATTGACTTTTAACAATCTAATTATATAGATCTTGACCGAATGAATTAAATCGTACTACTCGAAAACGCATTTAAAGGGTTGGTTTTCGACTTGGTTGAAGAATAACTTTCTTCCCAACTCTTTTCTTGACCATATCTCTCGATATAATCAAAATAATCTTAATATAACGAATGTTGAAATGATTTCAAATGCGACCAATTTAAGATATACAATCAAGAGGAAACATGAACGATGTATGAAAAAAATCAAACAAATTTATTTAATAAAACAAAATTTACAACACAAAAAATTTTTTTTGCATGTAATAAAATTCCATTATTAACTATTAACAATCTAATTATATAGATCTTGTCCGATCAAACCCGCCTATATAGTTATTGAATAATTGATAATAATAAAACGTTAATTAAATATATTTTACAAACAGCTTCGTAGATCTCGACTTTAAGACTTACTTTGATC